AAAGTTTTTTGAGTGAAAAATTGGAAATGTGAGAAGTTGGTAGGTAAGTATTGCACACTCACAAATGGTTGTGAAACCTGGATCGGCTTTAGAATGCCGCTACGATCCCGAACAGAAGTGGACTGCGTGGTGGGATGTTCCCAATGTGAACTGCAGTATTTTTCATAAAGGTACGCCCGAGCTCGAAAATGGCGTGTTTTACGGCTCAAATCTTATTAGCTGGGAGCTACATAACCAAGAGAAGAAAAAAAGCAGAAGAAATTCTTTCAAATTCCCTCATATAGAACCTTAGGCTTTACCGCGCTTGTACGCGCATAAAGAGGAGAAAAGGGCGTGGTCGGACGAGTTTTCACATGCTGGTACCATTTCCTTCCCCTTTCCACCTCCAAATCGCCATTCGAGATGGAAAGTGTTATAAACAGAACAACCGCACCGCCAGGAAGCCTTCAAACGAAAGGTGGGTGTCAAGGTGGCCAGTGGGCGGGACAGTGACATTGTCGCAAGCAGGTCGCGCTTTCGTGCGAAAGTAGTACTTCCTCTGTGGATGGCGGATAGGACTACCTTGTCTATAAAAGGCGCTTGCGCATCAAATGAAAGCCGGACGTGCCTTCAACTGATCTTTAACATTTGCTTTATTAATTATAAATCAAGTTCGTTTTGAATTATACATATGTAACCACAGCGAGCCGTTGTTTAAAAGAATTACTTGAGTGCTTCAAAGAAATATTCGAGACGTGTTCAGTTCTTCGTAGAACTAAGAAGAGCGCTACAACAGAACATATGCTTCAGCTAGGATTTCACTTCCTTGAACTCTCTGGAACATTGATCCTTGATGGAAAATATTCTCACAGTAGCATTTTCATTTCGGGTTAATCGAAAAATGTCAGCTTCTTAGAGGAAGCCCAAAAGAATGATGTTGTGCTTATATTTCTTTCATCGCACAATTCTCAGGTAGGCGGAGCATCCCGCTCGGTCCTTACCGTTCTCCTTGACAACGTTGGCTCGGTCTGAGCAGAACGTTGGCTTCAGAGCTCTGACAGTTTTTCAACAAGCGGTAGAGATATCGTTTTAGCTGGAAATTGGTTTCTACTGCTGATTTTTGGAAATCAGGCGCGTTTCATTCTCATCAGTATCTACTTTAATATATCTGCTTTACTATATCCGACACTTTGTCGATCTGTTCTCTCTCACGCTAAACGGATATGAGGGGGAGGGAAGAGGGTCCGAATGAGAGCGACTTTCCTCATTGCCATGACGTGCGCTGACTCGATCACAAAATTAACCTAAGTGATCTGTGGCTTCGTTCCTTTTTGATACCAGTTTTTGGCCCATCAAGACCATTTATGAAAATTGAGCTTTCAACGTTGATGAATGCCAAGGCCGAAACTATGAATGCTAATCAGTTTTGATGAATGGTCTGGAGATGCTAAGAGCTAGCCTACTATCAGCTTTGGCTCGACAGAGCGCCAAAACTGCCTGAGAACAATTCAACTTTGCTGGATAACTTAGCCTGCCGAACTAGCTGTTGGCTGAGTTTGCCACCGAGGTTTAGTTGTCCCCCGATTGAGACACATCAACTCTCCTGCAAGGGTAATACGACAGGCTGAACAGTTTGCAGTTGTTCTCAGGCACAGTCCGACTAACGGTAGGGCGCGTGGGCCAGCGCCTACCACACGTAACTGCCTCACCCCGCCTGTAATCGTCTTCCGCTTTCTGAGACGTGGAGGAGGCAGCGCTGGAGCTGTGGATCTCCCACACAACTTTAGAATGTGTCTTATGAGGATTTCGTATTATGCCGTGCCACTTTTTTGCGAAGCCAGTGAACTTCGGCCCACAATTCGGAGTTTAGACGTCAAAGGACCTAATGTCCACTCCTTCTAGAAGAAGTCACCACTTGAGCCTCATCTTACGTTGTATTTGTTTCTGGTTTCTAAATGTTTCGCTTTTGCTCACCTTCGAATTGTTCTAAAGTTGGTAATGATCGTCCAGTTTCTTTTCTGGGGACAAACGAGGGACTTCTCATTTATGAACTGTGAATAATACTGTAGTGAAGGATCATCTCACCGAGAACGCAGTTCTGCTGGGCTGCTCTAGAAGTCCTCATGCAGTCTTAAGGTAGGCTATAAAGGATGAGTACATTTTACTGATGTTATTCTTTTGCCAGCTGATAGATGAATTTTTTCAAAAGAATCTCGAGGACGCGGAGCATAGAACTCGTAGGATGGAAGCCCTGGCAGGAAGACTGATTCTCCTGTCGCTACCTGTCCAGCACCCCAGGAGCTCCGCCCAATCAAAGCACAAGTGACAACTCTCAAGTTCAAAGAGGCTCCCGAGTGCAGAGATTTTCAAGCTGAATTCTTGGAGAAGACGAGTGCGAGGTTTTCAGCTGAATTCCTAGGGGAAGGAGGAATTTGAACTCGCGTAACAGCGCTTTTTACTTCGGGTGGTATTCATTTCACCGCTAATCTTTTTGAGTTTCTTTCTCAGCTTCAGTCAGACTATCTCATGCAACGTTTAATGTATACTTGCCAATCAATCTGGCCTTTTCCACCGTATCTCCTTCTTTTTACGTCGTTCCTGGCCCATGATCTTCAAAGAAAAACGACATACATGCATGGTTTCCAGATCAGAAATGAACGGGACAATAGCAAACGAGTCACTGGTGTCAACGACTCCTGAGAGCTGCTACTTCGAACAACCGCCAATGACAAATATTCGATTCTGGCTCGTTACTGTATTCGGCTCGACGGTGTCATTCATCAGCATATTGAACAACGTGTTACTCTTCTATGTATTTATATCAAGGTTTGTGGGTGCTTACCTTCACTCCTGTACGGAATAGGTTGAGAGGGAGCAATTTGAGGCCCCCAAAACCACTTAAACCTCTGAAAAAGAGACCGAGAAGCGACACGACACAGAACTTGCGCCCAACTGGAGCGAAAGAGCTGAATTGTAGAAGAGCCGATAGGGTCTTTTCTTCTCCCACTTGGACGCAATATGACATGAGTCAATGGCAGCCCAGGCTCATCATACGAGCGGAGTCAAGCGTGCCAATCTCAATTTCTTCTGTCCGCTCTCACCTTTGCCATAGCAGAGGGTTGAAGCACTAAAGGGACTACGGTGTCGCGTCTGACTCCGCCCTCACAATAAATGTGGACAGTTTATGTACGTGCATTTTCAGGTTTTTTTTTCACTATGGAACTTTTAGGAAGCATCATCGAACCAATCACAATGTTTATCTGATGTTACTAGCCTTTTTCGATATTTTTGTGAGTACTGCCTATATACTTCTCATGTCCGTGAACGTACTCATCGACTACCTAGTGTCTGCTCGTTTGATGCAAATATGGTAAGTAGCAAGTTTTCAAGAAACAAAGGTGACGTGTTCAAAGTACCTGATGGGTACCCGAACTTGGAAATGGGTACTTACTTACAAATGGGTATAGAAAAAGGGTGGGTGGTGAAATGTTAAGTGGCACGACGGAGGTGGTGAAATGTTAAGTGGCAGAACTTGCTTCGCCCACGTTTAAGTGCCATTCTCTTCTCAGCCCACCTATATCCCTATGAGATCGGCTAATTAATGGACACGGTACGGAAAGGCACAAGCGGAGAAGTTGGTAATGAAGAGCTGAGGGGATAGTTGACGAAGGAGGAGTAGTAGCGAAGGGGACTCTAAAAAGAATGAATGCTCATCTGTACTCGCTCGATCTGTGCGAGATTCCCCCCTACATAGTTCTCGTGTAGAAGGGGTGATTCTCGGTTAGTTATCGTACAAATGAGGACCACACTTGATATATCTTTACAAGTCCAGGCAAACTAAGAAAATGATACAAAAAATAAACAAAAATAATATAATACTACGAGTTCAAAACCCACACCGTTCATCGAAGCAAAGTTATGGGGATATTGTCACTCGCCATTTTGGAGCCATATAGTGGCAAACAGATGCTTCCAATCACGTGAAGAGGCTTCAGAATAAACGGGAATCTCGACGCGGTCCAGCGAGGGGGAGGCATTTTGCTTTTGTGCTGCTTCCCATTGTCGTGTCGAGCCATCAGGTAGAGATTTATGGAATCTTGTGCAGCCATGAAAGGGTACTAGACAAACATTTCAGAAACTACTTGCAAACTCTTTTGTACACTATCTACCGAACTTTTGCAGAGCTATGAAGCCGACAATGGGAGGCAGCGAAGCGCTAAATGCTTCCTCCCTCACCGGAAGGCGCCGAAGTTTCTCCGAATACGAATCATTGACTAGTCATTACTAAGCCTGTCATTTAAACAATGAAACTGATTCGAAAACATTCATGTTTTACGAGCGACATACTTATTATGGTTACACAATAAATCATGGTACAGAGTGGCAACAATCAAAGTAGTCGGTCTTTCCGAAAACAAATTGTGCACTCACTCCGCGAAGCTTGATGCTTGCCACGTGAGAGGTGAGTGGGTCCACAGCTACAACAGCGTGCCAGTTTCTCCGGCCAAAAGTGCACGAGAACGGGGCTGGAGTAGAGGACATCGACAACTGCCAGCCACACTTTGAACTGTAGCTAAAGG